TAAATAAATTTTTATTTTAAAATATAATTTTAAAAATTATATTATAAAATAATTTTTAAAATTTAAAAATAAGAATAGAAATCAAACAAGTCCTTCGATGGCTAGGAGCCTTTTACTTAGTGGCAAAATGGACACATGACCTACGGTGTCTCAGCTTCAAATCAAAGGCCTCTCCACTTCTTTGCCTCATTTTTCTTCCACTTCTTCAATCCTCAGCCCCTCATTAATTTTATATTAAATAATTTTTTAAATTATAAAATTAATGAAGGATGAGGATTGGGTAAGTGGAGGAAAATTTATTAAATAATTTTTAATTATAGAATTAATGAAAGGTCAAGATTAGAGAAGTGGAGGGAAATGAAAGAAAGAAGTGAAGAAGCTCTTGACTTGAAAGATGAGACACGATGGCTCTACAATAATTCCAGCACAAAAGCTAAAGCCATTTGCTTAACATCTACGTGGGCCCAGCAGGAATAAATGTACAAGTGGTCTCATGCCACATAATCCGTATATTATTGTCAATATTTTTTTAGCGTCGTTTGGATACTATAGTTAGTTTATTTTCTTAAATTATTTTTATAATAAAAGAATATATAAAATTCAGGCCAAGAAAAACAAAAAAGAATGTATAAAATTTGCATTAAACAACGGCGGCCGATTATCTATACTAAAAAGCAAGATGAAGAATTTAAAACCTATAATTAAAATAGCATGTGTGGAAACTATGATAAAATTAAAAATTTAATTTACATTAATTGTAAAAAAATAGGTATACAGCCATTCATTAATTTTTTTAAATATTAATTCAAAAAATAATAAATTTTTAAAACAATTAAAATCATTATAATCTCAATTTCCCTTTATCACCTTCCAATATATCTTCATCCTAGTTATGTTGTATTGGTTCGAGGTGTACTAGTGTTCTGTAATTCTGTTATATAATTTCTAATGCATTTTCATTGCAGTTGTCGCTGGTAAATTTTGCACAATGCTTTAGAACTAGATTTTGACCTGTGCGATACACATAAATATTTTTTTTTTACTTGTTTTTAAGTATTGTAAAAAACTATTTGACATATTCTTTTGAATATGTGTAAAAATTTTTATCATTTGAAGGATAAGCATAAAATAAAAAAATAAAAAATTTGAAAATAATTTATTTTTGTGTATTTGTGATATGTTACTTCATGCAGATTTAAATTTAAATAAAAATTTATTCTATTTTAAAATTTGTTTTTCTCAAATATATTAAAGATATACAATATTTTTAAATTTTATTTTATATAGAATTTGTTATTTCATGTGAGTTAAGATTTGAGATAATAAAAATTATCCATCAAATTATACACATATTTTTTTAATTTATATAAATTAAGTTTGTAATTTCATTGCAATAAAACATTCTATTTTATGATTTATGATTTATATTTATATTTTATAAGATAATTAATTATCTTATGCATATACAAAATATAAACAACAAATGATATGTAGAGTTCCTGTAATGTCCGCCTTAACATTACCAGAATAACACTAACACGCCGTTGTGGTAATCAGAATTAATTAAAATCTCAAGTATCACAACTTAAGTGTTTAAAGGTAATTAATTTAAAACATTGAGATCATAAGAAAAACTCATTTTAAAAGTTGTTTGAGCTCAAAATATATTCTAAAATGAGTTAAACCAAGTAACAGAAGCATGAAAACCATTTGACATATGAAAACAAAATGATACAGTCTGAAAATTTTTTTGAAACTGGCCCATCCACAGCTGTGCATGCCACACCTACTATGGTGGATGGCACAGAGGGACGATTCCCTCAGCATGCATTACGCTGCGGTGCAACTACTATGCGCTGTGGCGCAAACCTACTGTCATGACAGCATTCTGAACTTTCAAAGTACATCATTTCGCCATCCGACATTTGATTTGAGCAGTTCAAATGTTCACATAAAGCTCTTCTAGCCTTCCAGCTTATGGCACCAGTCTCACACTCAAATAATTATCCATTAAAAAAAATGAACACTTAAACCTAAAATAGTTTGTTTTCACCTCAAAACACATTCAAAGATGTCTAATTCACATCACCAAATGCCATTAGTTCTGAAATAACTTTGACCAATTCAAATAAACCACACATAACATACATGGCTAATCATATCACACAAATAACCATTCATACTTAAAATGACCACCAAACCCCCAATTTTTAATAATAGAAAGGGGTAGACAAAATTCAACATAAATCTCATTTTGGTCATTCTAACATATAGTTAACATAATAAATTACTTGTATTAATATCTTGGCCATTCATACTCACTTAACCACAAGCATTACAATTTTAGGCTGAGATACGCACACATTACACAAAGTTTCATACAAGTGATAGCAAAATAGTGAAATGACTCTAAGTTATTTGTTACAAAAATCAAAGACAAGGAAGAAGAGCTATACTAATGAACTCTTCACTCTTTGGTCTCCCTTTCTTCCCTTTACCGCTACTAGAACCCTCACTTGTAAAATATAACCATCGGGTGAGATAAACATCTCAATAATAAAATAATTCACTACTATTAATTAACACGCACAATCAAAAGCGAGTAAAGCTTATATACTTTAAAAATACTCTTTTAGCATATTCAATATATCATTTTCACAAACACAAGTCATTTACTACTAGCATGATCATTCTACCATCCGAGCTTTCGTATCACCCCTACTAAAACCGTAGGCTCTTAGACTAAGTGCACATTCATAATAGCCCGAGTTCACCTTTAGTAGTAAGATCACCCAATCAAAGGTGTCCTATCTCACTTTCGAACTATAATCTCCCCCTATCACACACGAATCAAGGTGTTGTTACTCCAATACTGTATCATTGATGCTAAGGAGCGTCAATCTCGAATGTTGTATCCCACTTGGATACTAAGGAGATAATCTCCAACACCGTGCCTCACTAGAGACTAAGAAGATATATGCCATATAGACTTCCATTACTCCTTTCTACGAGTAAACTCTTACCCCCTATCATGATCATACTCACATTTTCCATTAATATCACACACTTGTAATAAATCACAATTTTCCTCACATAAGAACTCAAAATTTTTTACCATTCTCAAGTAACTTCTAATGCACAAGAAAATCATCTTTTGTAACATGCCAAGCTTTCAAAACGCATGCAAACAAATATACTTATCTACTCACAAATAGTTAAGCAATATAATCAAATAGTATAAATTATTTTGTTACCTAAACTCTTTGTTACAGAAGGGTTACCATGGTTCAACATTAGCTCCACACATTCACCACTCGTACAATAACACTTGAATAATCCTTAATCTACAATTAAGTGACAATTATCAATTATCATTCTGAATAAACCTCGAATTCACTAGGTTCTAAGTACTCATAACTCTTAAATTCCTTATCTAACAACATGAATCCTTCCAAAATACTCTAACAATCCTGCTTAGCATCCAAATATACCAAAATCATCATCCAACTTTCCACATTATCCAAAAACTCTCAAATTATACCTAGAGTTCATCCAAACCCTCAACAAAAATTTTAAATCCAAACCAAACCCATAAACCTAGGGTTAAAGGCTTGATTTAACTCTTCAAGACCTTAACTAATTCAATGGATTCATCAATTACCCAAAAAAAATCAAAAACAAGCCTCAACCATAGCTAAAAGCATCAAAAATTCATATAGAAGGAGAGGAAGAGGTGCAGGGAGCTTATCCAATGGCAAATCTTGCCCCAACTGCATTCGAAATGGTCCAGAGATCATGCTCTAGTAGCCACCGATTGTCCCTCATCTCCTCCTTGCGATTTCACTTATCCTACTTCTAATTTTGGGTCTATTTTTGTGAATTGATAAGCACGAATTTTTTTATGTGTGTAGTGGCGCATTGGCACGTTCGCTGCAGTGCATGGTACAAAGAATTTCAAGCTTGTTTTGGACCTTCCTCCATGCCACGGCTTGTGCAAATGTCGATCTAACTCTCTTCTAAAGTTGTCAAACAATCTAAAAACTATATTAGTTTTCCTTAAACTTCATTAATCAACAATCACTCAAAAAATACCATTCTATCCTTAAAATTTCTAGATTGAAGACTTAAGATGTTACAGTTCCTATCCCTACTAAAAATATTAGGTCTTATGTTATTTTTTTTATTATGAATCTTATATTCATAAATATTTTTTATTATGGGTCCCTCATGAGACTTTAGTTTACAATTTTTAAAAAAATGGTTAATATTCATTCTTTTTTGGTCGAAGGTTACTGTTCTATGTACTTTACATGTATATGTATAGATTCAATGTTCATGTAGTAACCATGCTATATTTGTTAGAGATGCAATGGTGTTCTTTATTTTTTTTACCCTTATGTAACTTGGTGAATTAGCTCATGTATTCATACTCCACAAATTAATAAGACGTTGCAAGGTCTTTTTCAAATTGCTTTATAGCGATATATAATAATTTCGTCTTATATAAAATACAAATACAATGCCAAGCTATATATGTTGGACATCATATGAAACCTTGATTTAATTATTTTATTATTTTTTTGGTTAAAGATAATTGTTCATGATATCCGCACACTCATTCATAAGAAGGAACCGCATACATCCATCACAATTTTCCCAAGGGTTCAAACACACAACCTCCTTGTTAGAGGAGGGGCTTTAATTGTTCTATTTTGAATTCACCATAAGGTGTTTAGAGGGAAAGAAATTAATTGTCATTTATTTGAGATAAATCTTTTTATTCAATATTCCTAGTCAATGCTAGTTATTTTTTTTTTTTTCTGAAAAACATGGCAAAAGAGGGAGTAAGCTTCGTGGATATTTATCCTAATGACACGTGTAAAATAAATAATTATCATTATTATTAAAACACGGCCTCTTATTTCTTAAAGAAGCCGCTATCGTGGGGGAAAGAAACCACGTTCTACGCGCAATAAACACTTCGACCCCTGTCCATTTCTCGGGAATCTCCGCTCTAAATTTTACAAAGCTCAAGCTGAGAAGCAATAGCCCAAATAAAGGGCTAAAAGCAGGCTCTGAACCAAAGTCCAAAAGCCAACACAAGCCATAAATAAATAAATAAATAAAATATCTCTTGCTCATCAAAATTGTTTCGAGTCCCAAACTTGAACTAATCCCACAAGAGATTGTGGCTTCTGGAAACAATCTATTATATCATCATCATCATTATTACAACTATATCAACAATCTACTTCATCTCTGATCGGAGATGGTTACTCTGACTACTACTCCAATCGTCCCTTCCATGCTTAAGCCTTCTTTCTCTGAGCAAAATCTCTCTCTGTTCCCCTACAGAAGGCGACCCTGCAAGAAGAAACAGCCAATCTCTCCTGTATGTATTTTGTTTATTGCTTTGTTTCTTCTTTAGATTTTGATTTGAACTTCGGAATCAAGGTGTCTTGAGAGGGTTTTAAGGCTTGTAACTTTTTCTTGTTTCTGGTGTGGATTTGGTTGGATCAGGTTAGCAGGTTGTTCGGACCTGCCATCTTTGAAGCTTCAAAGCTCAAAGTTTTGTTCTTAGGTGTGGATGAAAATAAACACCCAGGCAAGCTTCCTAGGACTTATACTCTAACCCACAGTGACATCACCGCCAAGCTCACTCTCGCAATCTCTCAGACTATAAACAACTCTCAGGTAATTAATTCCTCGTCCGAATTTCTGGAATTTGATTCTCGTGGATCTGTTTTTCCTAGTCCTTTGAACTGTTAAAAAAGGAGAGGAAAACAGGGGATCTTACATCCCTGCTTGAAACAGACCAGGTGAGCATGAGAATCTGAGGATGTGAAGAAAAGTGAGAGATCTTCCAATTTGTTCACAGATTAATTGATAATTAAATTAGTATTATTAAGAAGTTTTGGGATTGAATTTGAATTGCAGTTACAGGGATGGTACAATAGATTACAAAGGGACGAAGTGTTGGCAGAGTGGAAGAAGGTGAAGGACAAGATGTCTTTGCATGTTCATTGCCATATCAGCGGAGGTCACTTCCTTCTAGATATATGTGCTAGGCTTAGATACTTCATCTTCTGCAAAGAACTTCCTGTGGTGAGATTTACTAACTCAATGGAATTCAGTTTTTATAACTTCAATTCATTCAGAATTCAGGTTTTATAATTTTAACTTCATTAACATTTAATCTTCATAATTTTAACTATTTAAAAGATTTATCTTTATATTTTAAAAATAAAATTATAAAAATTAAAGTTATATTTTTTTTTAAAGAATAGGAACTAATATCTTGAAGTACTAAAACTATAAATTTGAGTTATACTGCATTAAAAGTGGGATTCAATTGATTTAAAACTATTGAGATTGAAATGTATATTAATAGTTAATATTATTATCTAATAGTGATTAAGAAATTATAGGATAATTAATTTTTCCTAGTCAAAATTACTGACCTGTTTAGCCGACTCAATTGTAAAAAATAATAATAATAATAATCAAACCTTAGGAATTGTGAATCCACCAGGTGTTGAAGGCTTTTTCGTCCATGGGGATGGAGGGTTGTTCAACAACTATCCAGAATTGCAGGAAGCTCTGGTTTGGGTTTATTTCCACTCCAAAATTCCAGAATTCAACAAGGTCGAGTGTTGGGGCCCGCTGCGGGACCCATTAGCACCTAAACTTTCATCATCGGGTGGGTCCCAGGAAGAGCAGAGCCTTGGGTTGGCAACTTCTCCAAGTAACCCTAACATGGACTTACCACAGCCATGTGAACAAGACTGTGACTGCTGCTTTCCCCCCGTGGCCGTGAGCTCAATCAAGTGGTCCCCACAACTTCCCCTTCCCAGTAAGAAACTGTATAGTGGGACCCACCAACAAAACTCTACGGCATAACAAAAGTATGATACGTCTCGTGTTCTCTCTCTTTTTAGGAGTGATCACAATTCACCGACGCACAAGCTGTTGGCAGATACTCCAAATTGTGTTAATTATTCTTGGGAAAATAGAAAACAAATTGTTTCAGTTATGTTTGACTCCGTTTGTATGAATTTCTGTACATATTCGTTTCGAAGTTATAATTAAATTTTAGCTTGGGGGTGGTTAGAGCGAGGACCAAATATATAAAAGATCAACCTCGTCAGAGGGATATCTTATAGAATATTGTTTTATTTTTATATTTATTACTAAGCAGCTAATCTTCTTAAATTTTGATTCCGTGCATAGCAACTTTTTAAGCCTGTGTTGAGAACTCATTTGTCATGATCAAGATACGTAAAATTGAAACAGTCATTGAACGAATCACAAGTTAATGGTTCAATTAAGATTGAACAGAGGGTTGAATCGGTGGTAAATCAGTCATGATTAAAATAATATAATTTAAATAAAAAGATATTAATTATAAAAACATTCAATCAAATCCAACCACTCAAAAGTCTAACAGTAATAAAATACAACACTTTAAATATCTACTATTATAATTATAACTCTTTAATTTCAAAAGTCTAGAAGAAGAAATGGAAATAGAGTTGGAGAAGAGACGAAATTGAGTTGGAAAAGAGACGGAGAGTCAGAGACTAAGTTGAAAAAGAGATGGAGATAGCATAGACAGAGATAGAGTTGGAGAAGAGATGAAGACTAAGTTAGAGAAGAGACGCTGATTACGTTAGGGCGAGAGAAGAGAGCCATAGATGAAAGGTCGAACTAAATGCTGTCTAAAAATCTGGATTGAACTTAGCGTGCTCTATCTTTAATTTTTTATTTTTTGACTTTAGTTTCACTTTTTTTTGTTATCTTATTTCTGAACTCAGCACTTTAAAAATAAAAAATGAAAAAAAATCTCCCAAAAAAATTACCCAATTAACCCAGTCACCCCATCGGGTTAATCGGGTTGAACCCGAGTTGATCGGTTACACCGGTTCATTCCCTCACCGGTTTAGAAATAAACCCAGATCGGACAAGGGACTCGATCATCGATTTTCAAGTTGACCCGACCAATTCGGTCTGGGTTTTAATACCATGATCATGATACATTTTATTGGTACAATAATAAAAATTACTGGTAAAGCAACTATTTGCACAATTAAATATGTTAGAAAATTATTATTCAGTCAAAGTCAATCTATAAAGCCGTTTCCACTTGCACAAAATCCAAAATTTTAACGGGTTATGTATAATTTAATTTAAGGGTTATTTAGTCTAAATTAATACACATTCTCCCCTATTGAAAATATAAATAGCTTTTTAATAATAATTTGCATATTGAAATTTTTATTCCTATAAAGATATACATAATGTTCCTTTGTTATCTTTAGTTTCTATTTATGATAAGGGAGAAAAATATTCTAAATTCACGTACACCAAAATCTAAGTTCATAAATATAAAAAGTAAAATGTTTTTTTTTAACAAGTACTACTCCATCTTTCTTTATATATAAAATATTTTTAATTAAATTTTACATATTAATAAGAGATTGTTAATAAATTAAAATTATATTAAATCACAATAATTTTCTTTTTTTGACCCTAAAATTATATTAATTAATATTATAGTGATAGTAGGAAAAATACATATCTTTTCTTTTTTTAATATAAAGACAAAATTATTAATTATTTAAAAATATTATGACATCTTTTATATTTAAAAATAAAATAATTTTTTAGAAAACACTATAGATATTGAAATGGATGGAGTAAGTTTTTTTTAACCAAAATTAAATAAGAGAAAATGTTTATATTTTAAATCAGAAGAATTATTAGCTTTGCAGGTCTTTTAATCTAATCTAAACCCAGGGAATAATAACATCTATTTATATACAAAATTTTTGGAGAGATTACATTGGTGATCTTCGCAGTATAATTTTAATTCTCAAAATATACAAAAGCATGGTAGCAGTGCTTTACAGGGAAAAGAAGTTGGCCACCACTCCTACAAAATCTTAAAAAAAAAAAAAAAAGAAGCAGAAGAAAAGAGTAAATCAACAAAAATATGCATATAAATTAGCACCCACATTGTTAATTTACAGCTCCTCTTCAAGGCTCCATTTCGCCCCAATTGTTCAAAAGTCCACTCAGATGGTGCCACAACGTGTTGAGTTGTCCACCATGCTGTTCTGAAAGTCACCTAATAATACTTCTTCCAAGAGAAAATGCTCCAATTTCACTTTCAGTGTTCTGCAACAACAGTTATATATGCATTTTTAATTTTGGATCTATGAATGTAACCAAACTTTCAAAAGTGATTGATTAAAACAAGAAAAATAGAACTGTCAAAAGTGGGAAAAGAAAGGAGACAAGGATGAAGCAAAGAAACGAACAAATAAATAATGAGATCTATCGGAGGATCTCAGTCACTTTTTGAAATGCTTATCATTACCTGTTAGGTCTACTTCACAGAACAAATATAAATAAAAAACATAATGATGCCATGCACCCATCATTTACAATGAGAATTCAGAGCAATTGCAAATTCCTCTTCCAGAAAAATGTAAAAACTGAATGATAGCGCAGCCCCTCCTACGAGAAAGACGTGTGATTCTAACACATGTCCAGTCGTATGCATCGGAATAGGTGAACAGCCATACAATTTCAGAATGGCATGACAGAAACTCTTCAATCAAGTAAATAAGAGAAGCAAGGGAGGACAATAGCGCAATTTTTTTCTCATTTCAATTTTACCTGAGATTTAGGGGAAGGGAATATATGCCAAAACCTAAGTGTTTCATCTCCAGCTCCCGTGACAATATTCTGATTGTGCAAAGTCATCATCACAAACAGAAGAAAACACAAATACGAAATTAGAAAAATCATTTTCCTAAACATAGCTACCAAGCTTTAAAGAAAAAGTAGAGTAGAAGGACAACTGAATTACCTGTCCATCAGGAGAAATGGCAAGATAAAGAACTCTATATGTATGGCCTGTAAGAGTTGCCACCTGAATAAAAAGACAATAGGTAGATATCATTGCTCAGTTTAGGCAAAAGTTATAATGCATGCTATTTTCAGCGCAGATACAGGTTGTACCTTTGACATGTTGGGATATCTCCATACTATTATTTGATTCTGGGAGTAGCCATGCGTGCTTACCAGTTCATTGACATTTTTAGACCAGACAAGGTTGCAGACCTGCCACAGGGCCAGGAGCAAGAGGTCAACCGTCAGCCTACTTGTGTCCATGCCAATTTTTATATATGAAGGCTATAACTAATCTACATGATATATAGCAGAAGAATGCTCCAGAGTTGTTAGCTCTGTCAAGAATCTCATGTTGCACAAAGGTCAATGAAAGATGCAGCTTTCCATTTTCAGCGATTGGGATATTGAGATTTGCCGTGTTCATTATACAGTACATCAGGTGTGCTGACAAGCTAGCCAAGAGTGCCCATGACCACGATGTGGGTTGTGATGTTGTTTTATTGTAAGCAGTTCTTTCTGGGTGTGTGAACAAGTTCATGGAAGAGAGGCAAGGCTTACAATAGCCCGGTTGACTTTTTGTCTGTGGTTTCAAGCTAAACACTTGCCTTGTTTTATTAAAAAACGAAAACTTCTGTCACAATCGTTTTAATAATTGCAAATGATAACTTAGGTTACCAATGAGGATTAATTTCGTGTGCAAGGTGTCATCTGATGCAACACCAGCTCATTATATTCAAGAGGAAAAAAAAAAAAACACTCCAAAGCTAATCAATGGCGCCCGTTCTCTAATAGTACTAGAAACCATGGATCATATATTTATTGACAATGACTTTCTAAGAACCATATCCTTCAGATCATCTTTCTCCACCACAAATGCTTTAAATCCAAGAAAAGGGAATTCTAGGGTATGCCTATAACTTTTTGAGTGAATGAGGAGCTGCTGCAGCGATGAAGGTATGTCTATAATTTCTTTTTTTAAGAGAACGAGGGTATTTCTATAATTTAATTTCACAGCTGACAATGAAGAGCTGGTTAATTGGGATAGTACTGTGATGACCATTAATTTGTATAATATTTGGAAAAGCAGAAATGCAGCACTCTTTAAACGGAAGAAAGCTTGCTCTGTTGCAGCAAAATGAACACAGCATCTACAGTACAGCAAAACATGTAGCTAAATCATCTTATCAGCATACAGTGAAACTGCATCACCCAAAGAAGAATTTGGATTGGACTGTTTTAATTTGGACAACAAAGTCTACAAAACAGGCAGCTAAGGAAATTGATTGAAACTTTTTGGAAGCATCAGATTCTATTCAGATGCGTGGAACAAGGAGATAAAAGCAGCATCTCCACATGCTGATTAATTTTAGAAGGTATTTGAAGACCAGTGTCTTTTATTGGAGAGTTGGCCACACGGTAATCATAGGAGTGATGACAATGTCAACTAGTGTTGATTAAGTGATCGCATTAAAAGCTGGTGGCTCAAGGATTCAAAAGCAAAGCAAACCAGGGATGTGAGCTCTGGACACCCAGAAACTAGGGAGCTTAACGTCATGTTCAGGAATGACAGCAAATCTCACTGAAGCAGTTGTTAAAAGGATATATTAAGTCAGAGAAAAATGGCGTGAGTTCTTTGATTATTTTTTGTTGTTCTCTATCATTTCTTCTCAAGAAAAAAAAAAAAAACACTTTTGACAAGATCCTTCAGAAATAGCTTCAAGATTCGATGTTGCTCTACCATGTTACCGATCCCTAACCTTCTTTTTCTTTTTCCTTGAGAAATAGGCCTTCTTATGATTCTTTTATTCCCCCCTCCAGCTGGAATCACTCCACTTACTTTCAGTCCAGTATTCATGTAACTTCCCATTCAGTACATTTTGCTTGGAAGACTATAGTTCTTTCTTACTTTAAATGAATCATCAAAATTACCCTTCCCTAAGGAAACCATCTTTTTTTTTTGCCTAGCAACTAAGCCACAAATTCAATCATTTCACAGTGCCATCAAATAACCAACCTCATATTAGACCAAAAAAAAAAAAAAAACGAAAAGAAGAGAAGAGGAGAGAAAAATGTAAATTAATTATAAAGAATAAACAGAATACAGGACAAGTGGTTGACCTGACTTCCAGTGTCCACACAACGTAAGTGTGAGTTTGTGGTTGTATTCCAGAAGCGAATACTCCGGTCTGCAGTTCCTCCTCCCGATGCAAGAAGTCCATGAAGATGAGGAGACCATGCAATAGCTTTAACAGCTGCTGTATGCTCACAGAACTTTAGGACTGGCTGGGTAGAGTGTTGATTCCAAACAAGCAACTACGAACATAAGAAATAAACTATTAGGTACCAATCCAGGAGAAGTAAAGCAGCAACAACAATGCTAATAGGATAAGTCTGAAAGATAATAAAGAAGGTTCGCAATGGAATACTTTGTTGTCATTTCCTCCAGATGCCAACTCCCCGTTGTCATATGACCACTTAAGCCCACAAACCTATGAAGAAACAAAGCATAATAATTGATTTCAGGCTAAGTTTCATTGATTTTAAGGTAACTTAGTATAGACTACAAGAAAAGTAAAGACGCTTTGCACTGAAGAACAAAGACATGGTGAAGCCCTCAAATTAAATGACCAGATAATGCTGGATTAAGTAGAAACAATTCTGACCTCTGATTTGTGCCCTGAGAGTTTACCAACAAAATCTTCCTGTGCACGGATATCTCGTTGATAAATATTCTTATCCCGACCACCAGAAGACAAAAGAGATGAAGTCCAGGCCAAGGCTCCAACACGTAATCGATGGCCTTCCATCGTTCTGATCTTCTTGCATTGAGATGCATCCCAAATCTAAATGAAGAGTAGTAGGAGACAGTTAATAAAGTTGTCATAGCATCCTTCTTAGTCATAAAATAAGTATGGACATCTCGAATTAATTTACACCATGTCATATTCCCAAACTTTCCTTTGTTATTTTTTTGCTCTAAGGTAAAATGTTAGAGGAAGGATCATCAGAATATATTTTATTTTGTTCCATTTAATCTATGCATATAACTCGCCAATTTCTTTTAGCTTGATACTCATTTTCTTGCCAGACCTAATAGCAAAACAGGAAGCTATCCGGGAGGCCTCTTTCACCCACAGTATATCTAGCAACTAAATAAACCATACCTGAACTTTACCATTGCTAGCTCCAACGGCAAGATGAGTACCACGTTGAGCCCAACCAACTGAACAAACGCTGTCGTCATTCCCCAGGTCACATAACTTAGTTACCTTCATGAAGCATAGCAAAATGAGGTGAGGCATAGCTGAATGTGCATATCCGTTGTCCTCAAATTGTACTCATTAAGGAAGATTGTAATGGCATTATAAATTTTGATCAAGAAAAGATTAAAAATCAACCAGAGTCTACCAAAAACAATTAATCGAACCATAACTCACCTTGCTACTACAAGCATTCCACAAATAAACACAAGCACCCAATCCCACAGCCAGCACATTGTGGGAAGACCAATCCACAAGATTAAGATAAAAATCGTCTTGCAGCCCGGGAGCATCTAGAACCTTGCAAAACATTATACCGTCCGACGTCAATACACCCCAAAAAGTAAAATTACAGTATAAGAATTAAGAAGAGAAAGACCCTAAAGACAGTAAATTTACCTTATAAGGCGACCGTGGAATTTTCTGAGGAGCCTTGACCGGCCTATGATTGGTCACTGGCACCACATCATCGAACACAAACGGCTCAAGCGAGTGCATGGACTGGCAAGTTTCAGTTTTGTAACGAAATATATTTCGGTTTGGTAGCGTTGATAAGCCCTTCTTCTCCGGCGTCACCGGAGATATGACTCCGGCATCAGGTCCGAATAACGCAGTGCGCAAAAGCGTGGTGTAGGTGCTAGAACTGTCTTCGCGTCCGTCTGCGGTAGAACTCTTCGGCGTAGAGATACCAAAGAGCGCGAAATTGGAGCCGGATCTGCTGGGTATAAACCTATCAGAATAAATCGTCCTGGAAGGTGATTTATAGTAACTGGAGTTGATCAAACGGTCAATAGATCGAGAAGGAGCTAGGTTGTCAAGAGAGAGAGGAGCTAGAGCCATATTGGGAGGTAGATTGAGCTGCGAAGATTGTGACTGGGGAGTGCCCGACTCGTCCATTGGGGAAGAGCGAAGAGGGGTTCTCTAACAATGGCTCCTAATTTTCCCGGGAAATCCAGCAGAGCGCCTTCGTTTTTTGCGGGAAAATCGTAGAACGTTGTGTGCTTGTGGTGGTGTGGTTTTTTTTTTTGTAAGGTTTTTCTGGGCCAACATGTTAGTGTACTTTGGGCCTTTGCCGTTGCTTGTTCTGTTCTCGTTCAATTCCGTCCAACATGGGAACCGGCCCTGCTGTTGTTCATGTAAGGGAAAAATTTATGGGAGTTATTTGGAGATCCCACACTACATAATTAAATACCATAAAGTTTATTAATAACTTATTAAAAAAAATATAGTTATTATTTTCTTTTGCTTAGTTATAACAAGTATTTAAATATATTGTGTGAGACCTGTATGTAATTTCTCAAACTTATATACTTAGTCTTATATAGGTACTTATTTTCATTTAAATCAAAACATGAGAATTTTTTATATATTATTTATTCCCTAACAAATTCTTGTTATTAATATCATTAACATATTAAAATTTACTTGTTATGATTTGAATGAATATAAGTATATTAAATATATAAGATTAAGTACTTAAATCTTGCCCTACATGTAAAATATAACTTTTTGAAGAAATAAAGTATAGAAATTTTAATACATCATTATTTAAAGCATTGGAAGTGTAATATATTTTGGTCTTAAAAAATGAACTTGAGTCCCATTAAGAATGTGGACAGATCATTTGGGTTGAATTTCATTTTTCTCTCCTTTTACTAAGCCCTAAATGACATTTTTTTTTGAGTTAAAAAAATAACATTCATTTGCATTTATACTTTAATTACTCTATTTGATTGAATTATGTGTCATTTATACATGAGTGTTTCATTTATTTGTAGATTAATGCCTTTTTGCTTAACTATTACTCTTTTGAAGGTTATATATGAATATTTTATATATTTAAATTAAATTAAATTATTTTAAATTAAATTAAATATTTTTACATATTATTTCAAGGTTATCAATTTAACCAAGACTAAACTATGAATCCTTGAACTATTGTATCAAGTAGTTGAATCAATGGTCTAAGTTTTTATACATTGAGAGAATATATGATAATATTTGATTTTTTTAATTAAAAAAATATGATTTTAGGTAGCTAATAATGCTTAATAATACATCTTAAGTTTATGGCAAGTCGTGAAAGAAAATGTGTCATTATTACATGGTTGTCTATATTGTAGTAATAAGCAAGGAACATATGTAACCTCCTCCCATATCTTCCAGATACAGGAGAAGATTAACAAAATTATCACTTTAAGCAAACTAATCAATAATTAAAGAATTTTTTTGAAAAGCTTGGGCCCCAGACTTGTTTGCAAAATCATTAAAAACCATAATACATCAGAGCAATATACAACGAAAATAAGTCACAGACAACCATTTTAGTCATTGCATGCATTTAAAATCACAATATTAAGTTGAAAAATGGGCCACACGCCGTGGCATGTAGTACTTGCGCCACGGTATGTGGCACGAAGCTACACACCCAACTTTTTGTGTCATATGCCGCGGCATGCTAGTCCAAAATTTCTGCTGTCATTTTGATAGCAAAATGACGAACTTTTGCTATGCGCCATTTTCACATGTAATGTCTAATCGAACTAATTCAAACACCAACACGAAACGTATCTCATTAGCTAGCTCATGAGCTAGGTTTGGACAAGATTTAATAGGCCGATCAAAATTTGAATATCTGGGTGTAAAAAGTTACTTTCTTGAGTTGAAAATTTTGCGCACCCAAGCACTCAAATCGATCTCTTTCTCTCATTAGACCACACAAGGCCTTGAACCAAGTCTAAAAGGACCTATTACATCTAATTGACCATATTATATCACAAATATACACATATATCAAAATTTGACCTCTCAACGATCAATTTCTACATTTCTCAACTTTTCACAATTTGCTACAAGTTAGCACAACTTGGCCTTTTTGCAATACATGTTCACATATAATCACATCCACAATATACACAATTCAATCGTACTCCCAAATTATTGATTTCATCATAGTTTCACACATGGGCTTAAAATTCACCAACATTTACAGCATTTTCAACACATACACACCTAAATCTTAGCTCTTGATTCATTTCACCATATATATACACAATTGGGCTAATATTCCACAAAATTACTATTCAAAATATGCATGCAACCCTATGGAAACTTATCTATACTTGTATACTTTAGATTTCAATTCATTACACAATCCTCTAAATTCACACTGCTTTAACAACTCTAAGCCGGTCCTGACTCTTTTCCCTTACCCTAATCACTGCTCTATCCTGTAAAATGTAACTATGGAAGTGAGATAAAAATTTTAGTAACAGAACAACTCACTCCTAGTGACTATCATATGCAACAATATAAAATTAAAGCAAAATATACCATTACACATAATATATATCACATATTTCATTTCAATCCACAACTATGTATATCAAATCACTTCTTTTACCACTATAATCACCACTTTTCCACATATAAAACACATAGTATGATCATTACTGACCGAACCTCCAAATCATCTCGACACGAAACTATAGGCTTGCCTTAAACTAATGTACACTCTCATTGGCCCTGAGCTTATCTTTAGTGGTAAAATCACCTGGTTAAAGGTATTCTATTTCACTTTCGGACTATAATTTTCCTCAATACACACAATGGGGTATTGTTAACTCTAACATCGTACCACACAGACACTAAGGAGTCCAAATCTCTAATACCGCACCTTAATAGGTACTAAGGAGATTATCTCTAATACCACACCTTAAAAGGCACTAAGGAGGTATAATTCTCCAATACTGCACCCCGTCGAGTACTAAGGAGAATATGTCATATGGTCTTATCACCACCTCTCCACTCGAGTGAACTTCCACCTCTACGATTATGCTTTTCAAACTATTCATAGGTTCCTCATTTACCACTTCATATTCTTTCTCACACATAACATATATGTATATATATATACATACCATATGAAATCACACTTTCAATACTTTTATTCGATCAAAAGTTATTTCATGCAACATTTGCAAAATGCCATAAATCATGTTTAGTTGAAAATCATTTCATGCACTACATAGTATACTTATATACAATTACAACAAATAGTTAAATAAAAAAAGTTATTCGATTATCTCAACCGTTCTATAACTAGAAAGGTTACTTGTCGATTTCAACTACTACTACAGCTTGTCACAAGCTTCCTTTCTCAACTCACCCACTCAATATGCTAATTTAAACACATTTGGCACAATTTAGTCATCTGGTCCAATTTGACAAAAAATACATATTTTCTTCTTATGGCTATATTCAACTGTGTATCCTTTTTCAGTTATCCATTCTAAATCCATCACTACTCAATTATTACTTTACATCACTTCAACTAGCCTTATTTCACTGAAACATAATTTTCACCCTAAAATCTCAATGTATCAAGGCTAAATTGAGCCTTCAGGTTCAAAGCTCTATCGTTCAATTTTAAACCAATCACAAAGCTCTAATTTAACTCACAAGAACTTTTTTATTACTACTAAGCAAGAATCAAACCCTTAAATTTCACCAATTCAATTTTCTATAACTCATATTTAGAGAAATTTAGGTAGAATGGAAGGTAAGAGTTATACGTAGCTTACTCATTAAGTTATCAATCAAAAACAGCTTCCAATGACTTGAAATAGCTTGCCTTAGCATATCAACCCTTCTCCTCTTCTCTTCTTATCTGTTTTTGATTTCTCTCTTCTAAAAATAACCCAAAATTCATGACTTAAGAGGTCATTTGTTTGTCCATGTGCTGTGGCATATGCAGCACAAGCCGTAGCGCGTGGCACATTGAGAAAAATTCTTACCATGCATACTTGATTCCACCCAAAATGCAATCTTTCCACTCATATATGTTTATTTAACATCCCAATGAGTCAAACTATCAACTAATCATCCAAATCTCTAATCCTACACTAATTATCACTTTATCCTTAATTAATAGCTAATTACAAGATTAAAAAATTTAGGATGTTACAACAAATGAATTGGGTCATTATCGTATGTCTGTATGTCTTGTGGCAATGTACTTTGAATTTAAGATGCAAAGCACATAAATGAATTAATTTGAGAAATGACAATCTATGTTATATGTAATAGTATATTTTGGGTTATTACTCCTTTGTTTGTGTTTAAATCTATTAATCTATAACTGCATAGGGTAAGTGTATCTTGGTTACTGTGTGGCTAAACTCATCCCTCGTTTTCAATATTTTATAGGCTCTAGCTCTGATGTAGAAAAGGGAAAGACTCTTGAGGCTTAGAAATCTAACATTCCTTTATAGACACTTGACCTCATTTTATTTTGTATAATAGTTTAAATATTGCCAATTAAGATGCATTTTGTTTACACTTGCACTATATTATTCTTATTGAATTTGAGATATATTTTGGGCCCTAGAATGTTGTATGTTTGATGTTAATGTATTAATAGGACCAAAATATTAGTACAAGTGTAGGGGTGTTTATTTGATTATAACTGTGAATGTTGATTTTGAAATGCAATGCTAAAGCCTCCACCTTCTATTTTTGGTATTAAAGGGGTTGATAAGTAAAAATTTGATATTGTGGTGTAATGTGCATGTGGTGTGTTGTATAGGTAGTTCTAAATTTATTGATTTTGTTTTGGGTGTTAGGAATAGTATTTGGTACTTGTGTGAGGTTTTGGACACCCTTAAGTTGTAAAAATTGTGAAAATTTTTGAAAATATATTTGGATGTCTAACTTCTTTGTGTGACTTAATTTGGAAGTAAAACACATATAGTTTATGAAAAGATATTTTTATAGACACCTGTATCATCCCATTTGGATGTTAGATGGAGAAATAGAACATATCGGAAGTTGCCCTGGGTTGCTAGAAAAAACATGCAACACCTTGTGATGCATGGTGCTTGTGACATGGTGCCTGACATAGAGAAGAAGCCTCTGCAGCGCATGTGTATATGTCATGGCACATTGCTCTACTTTTTTGTCTTTGATATTTTTTAATTGTT